AGAGAAACAGCCTTTCTTCCTGCATCAGTAAAGGTTTTGTGGATGAGCATGATAGTATCCCGTTATAAAAGTAGCTGTTTTGTTTATGTAGTAGAGATGTAAGTACAAAAGGAAACCTCTGAGGAATGCCACTAGCTTCCCATGCAGACTTTTCACAGGAAAACCAACAGGTATCGTCATGAGTCAGTTACCCGACATCAGTCAGTCCTATGTGCTCTGGAGAGGAGTAAGACATGAGTTTAAGGCTCAGGATGGAAGACTCTGTGTCCCATCATTTGGGGAATCACCTCTGCTTTGTGAGTCACTATTTGGTAACAGGAAGCAAGAGTAACTAAACGATTATTTACAGAAAATGACTCACTTATTCTAATAGCATAGTTTATGTTCTGCTGGATTTTTTCAAAAAGGCACACACTGAGTAATTTATCTGATTCCTTCAGAGTTTTCTGGCCAGTCTAGTTCACAATACTGTGAAGTCACAATATTGTGAACTTGGTTGAGTCTTTCACCCAAGGCTCAACCTATTGTTTATAATAAGGGTACTTTTCTTTCGGCTCCTTCCATCTCACTGTAATGTCATATGCTAACAAATGATTGAAAGCAAATCAGAGGTGACAAGAGAAGGCAAAAGGTACTTTAAATATTATCAAAGTATACTTACAAAAAATTTAAATCAACCACTATGAATAAAAACATACATCACACTGCCACAAAATACATATTTGTAAAGCATGATTGATTAATAATCGAATGATTTTTGTTGTAATCAACATTTCATCTGATACCAAATGTTCAGTCCTTAGCATACAATAAAACCTGCTACCTCAGAAATGATTCAATTTGGGTGGTTGATCTTGTGTAACTGAATGTCAATCCTTAACACAAAGTATATTTGCCTTTCAGTTTATGATCTAGTTTATGTATTTCTTGCTCACAGCATCAATGATCTTAGATCTTGGTATCTTTCAAATTAATCTTGTCAACTTTTAATTTACATTTGCTATTTATTTTTATCCAGAAACGTACAGTAATTTTAGCAGTTCCAGAGTTGTTTTAGCAAAATTTATCACAGTCAAAGGCAAATATAATTATGGGATGTAGTTTTCTCATCCTATAGAGTTTCAAAACTCTTCTTCCTTGATGCTATGCCCTTGCTCTTCAGAATTTCTGTTACTTCTCTGTAACCAAGGTAACAAGTTACAGCTTCATCTTCCTTAGTTTTCTTCCCTGGGCTTCCACAATCCCAGTTCTCCTCAGAAAGTACATGCACACGATCACGATCATAATTATGATCTAATAAAGAATAATAGAGCATTTTACTCTCTTTGTCTCTGTCTCTGTCTGTCTGTCTGTCTGTCTGTCTCTCTTTCTCTGTGTGTGTGTGTGTGTGGGGGAGATACATGTTCTGGAACTCACAGAGGCCACAAGAGGGCATTAGATCTCCTATAGCTAGAGTTGTGAACTACCCAGGTGGGTGTTGGAAACTAAACTCAGGTCCTCTGCAAGCTCAGCAAACACCATAATGATGGGGCTGTCTTTCCAGCTGCCTCTTATAGTATTTTATAATATACTATTAAGTTGTACATCATAGTTGGCCTCTGTAATATACTTAACTATGCTTCATTGTATGGAAAACAGGACTTTCATTGCAATAGTATGAATCTGATTCTTTTAATGTGCATATCATATTTCCTCCAAACCTAACAACAAGTATTATGATAAACAGATATATACAAACACAAATTAAATGGATGCTAGGTTCATAAGGGCTAAATCATGAGAGATACCATTTTAACTACTTTCCCATTTTTCCCAATTTAGTATTCAACCAGCACCATATGACAATATATACTTCAATTTTCCAATATAACATTTCTCCTTTATTTCTTGAAACTTTGTTTCTTTTAGGCCATGGCCTTGAAAAGAATTTTTTCCAAGAAGTTAGTTTATATACAATAATAATTTTGACCAGGTTTAGTAGCATATACCTATAATTCCAGTACTCAGAAAGCTGAGGTAGGAGAACCACAAGTTCAAATTTATACTGGCCACACAGTGAGGCCCATATCAGCCTTGGCTCTTTGGCAAACTACATCTCAAACAACAATGGTTGACAATTATTGGTGTTCAGTTTCTAAGACTCATATATTCTATATATCAGAAGTGCTTTGATTATTGTCACTATTATCAACTTTTAAATAATAAAATATTTGGATGCCTATAAATTCTGTACTAAAAAATAATGATCACAAAGCCAAGAATTAAGGTGATATGGATGGATGTATATAATATATATGTCTATACACACACATATAAGCAAATGTACATTTATAGGCTATATGCATGATTTATTGTGATATTTCTAGTCATAAATTAAATTTTTAATATCAAAAGCTTCTTAAATTTCATGTTTGAAATGATATATGTAATATGAATTGAGTAACATTGCAATACTACATTTTCATCACTAAAAGGAAAAGCAAACAAAAAATATTCTAAAAAGTATCATTTGATTTAATAATGTGGACTATAAATAATTTTATTTAAATAAAAATGTTTCCACATTTTAAAATTACATTCTATATCTTTATTTATTATAAATTTCTTGATACATTTATGGGGTTTCAAATAAAAAATAGAGGAAGATAAGAAAAACAAATTAAATATAAAAATATGATTTTCAAAATCATTAAATGAGACTTTTCCCATAGCCTATAGTTGGAACTGGTATTAAAAATAAAAACACTTTATCTGGAAAAAAAGATATTTAATTGGTTAACATAAATATGCATTATTTAAAGCTAAAGTTTCATATATAAACTGTGAAGAAGTAATTAGTAATTAAAAAACTCATTTTACTACTTGTTCCAGAGAAAAAGTATCTCAAAATTTAAAATTGTATGTATTGTATGTATAGATCAAAACCATAAAAAAACACCCTAGATATTACTGACTTAAAATAATCTGGAAAATAGTTATAAAAATTTAATTGGGTCAATAAAGGAAATTCAAATCTAGAAACTCTTCCGAGACTGAAATCTTATAGCTCACTTATTCATCCTGCAAATACCTACTAAATAGGATGTGTAAGTATTAAAAGAATACAATGAAAAATGAAACATGGGCTTTGCCCTCAAGGGGCTTACAGTCTAGTATGGAAAATATAAATAAACATATTGATAGCTGTAACATAAGTTAGAAAGTGATGGGTCATGAGAAAATTCAGATAATATATTATGAAATTATTAAAATCCAGAATTTTAATTAAATATTCTTTCTGTAGTTTCTAGGTATGGAGTAAAAACAGAGCAAACATCAATTTGAAAGTTAAATATCAAAGTTTGTGAATCTGTTGATGAAAAAAAATCCAGATCTAAATTAATGCAATTTAATTCACTATCCATCAGTTCTTTAGAAGGAGTATTGTGTCATTATTTACAAGTAGACACAAGAAAATAACCTCATAATCAGGCTTGAAACAATCATTTCAATGCATTAAGGCCTCACATACTCATGACACATTACTTTCTTGCACAGAAATTGGATCCGTAAGATTAAAGAGATGAAGAATTCCTCGATGGCTCAAGTGTGCTCCAAGGAAAGCTAGAAGGTTGTACAGTTAACTCCCAGGGTGTAACTCTAAACCATACAACCTACTACCTCAACCCGGATGCACACAGCTTCCAGTGTTGCTTCAAACTCTTTATCATATCTTCAGTCAGCTCCTCCAAATATGGCGGCCAAATACCTAAGGGCTTGGCAAGATGTAGATAGAATATTCTAGTGGTTTACCAATCGACTTCAGTTTTATCTTACAGGATTCTCCTATTTGTTGGGTTTATGGTATAGGTCACATAAAACACATTCTCGCATCTCGTTTAATACACTTCTACTAGCAGTGAGTAAATTTAAAAGTCAGTGACATTAGGCCTCAATTTTGAAGAGAAACAGGCTCAACAGTAACATAAAAATCTAGTTATAGACTTCACTCTTCTGTTGAAATGGACAAGGCACATTAACTAACAGAGGATGTGCTGAAGTTTCTCAACAACAGCTATTCAGATCTTGCTCTAAGCCATTAAAAAAAAAACCTTGTGAAAGCAGTTTATTGCACTTGAATTCAGCCTTGAATGGATGTGCTACAAATAATTCCAGAAAGCCAGCAATTAAACCTGCCTTGTACGACATACAAGGATTAATATATAACATGAAGAAATAGTAAATATGATTGTTTCGTGACTATGTGAAAAAGCTGGAGGGTTAGCAGGAGGGTCTGAATGGGATTGAGCAGCACTCTACACAGTACCTTGTCAGATTACCACACTGCCACAGACCCATAGAAACGAGCTTGTGCGGTCCACTTCACCACAAGATCGGATCTACGGGTTTATGCCAATGGGCATCGTCTCACATGGGAGCTACCAATGTAGCATTTGTCCTACACATCTAATGCAATTAGGGGATAGAAATGGTATCAGTATTTTAGTGTAAGCATTTTAAAGGCTATACTCTCAGGATGCATATTCCCAGTTAAAGACCTTAATAAATACACTGACCTAAATACAGGTTTGTAAACATGAGGATTAAAAAGTTGTTTTGCAAGTTCTTTTTTATTCTTCTTTTTTATTGATTGCTTTTGTTTTAATTGTGAATATTTTCATGTTGCTAAATTGTTCTAATTAAGAATCCATATTTGAATATATGAATTATGCTGTTCTAAAACATGGCTGTAGTCTTATGAGTCTATAATTAAAAATAAATTATTAAATTATTTGTATATGAATTAGAGTGCCTGTATTCACTCACATAGTCATGATTTTAAGGATATATAGCAACATTATATTTTTTATAAAGCAAATGAGATCTGATTGACTAGGTAAAGAACACAAAAATCACAAATTCTACATATATAGATATGTGCCTACAGTTGGAATAAAACAGTATGGAAAAAATGCTATCAGAAAACTAAAATCAATGCCAAGATAAGTGTGTCATTACTGCTATTCTGTACTGTGTGTATTCATTCGTACCACATCAAAGAGCATATAGTCTCTTTCAACAAAATACATTTAAATTTATTTTTCCCCAAAATTGTATCCCATAAACAAAATATGCACTTGCCTATAACTCTTGTGTTCAACAGGTTGAAATGAAATAAATTAGTCTCTAATTTTGTGAGCTATCAGACTGTACGGGAACAAGCGAGTGAGCACATATAAAACCAGTTACATGTACTTTTTTAGGATTCTAAACTCATCTGCAACAAAATTATAAGCTATATAATCATTAATCATTTCACTCATACAAAAATGATTAAGCTTTTCTTAATTACATCTTCATTGTGAAAAATAATACTGCATAGTAATTACTTCCTGATTTGGCGTGTTTGAAATAAATAAAAATATAACGTATTTTATAGAGTTTTATACAGATAATTTGGTAGACACAAATTTTCACCATTATTTAGTTTCAAATCCTTCTCCTGCTTATTAAAACTATAGTAAATAATCAACAATCATACAATCATAGTGAAAGTATTTCACCATACAGCAAAGATTTCACATGAAAAGAGAGGAAGCACTGATTGTAGTTTTTATTCCTTCACAATTTGCTTTGACTTTATTGTCTTACTAGATATATGAAAAAAGATTAAGACGCAAACCATGAGTTTATACCTTCCTCCCAGATTCTACTTCCTTCTGTACGTTATAAACACCGAAAACATATTTTCCTTTTCATTAAATAGCTTCCTTTTTAACCATCTTGTATTTGTGTTGTAAGAATCAGTATACACACATGCCCTCAGAGTGATGGCAACTGGGCATTGATCACAAAACCAAACAAAAAGGTTTACAAAGGCAAGCCATACTACAAAGTCTTGAAGGAAAACCATCAACAAAAATAGCTAGCTCCACAAAAGGAAGGAAAATACCTTAGAACCAAGCATAGAATAATTTTCTCTTTAAAATATTGCTGAATAATTACACTTTACACTTGGGCTTTCTTTTTCTTTTCTTTTCTTTTTTACCTGAGATGGTTTCCTCCTATGCTCATTTTCTTATCTTCTCATATCCACTTTAAGTGTTCCCCTAAAACAACCACAAAAGGAAAATATCAGACAATTGCCACCTACAAGGAACATCTCTATGGATCGTGAGAATGAGAGTAGATGGCCGAGAAGAAAGCAGAGCGTCAAAATGAGGAAAACCCTTCACAACCCTTTTTCTTCAGGCTTGGCAGAGTCCAAGGGCCCCACCCCAGGATGCTCATATGACACAGAAATACTTCCACAGTGTGCATTTATGTGTTCGTTTTGGTTGGCGCTGCTTTCACAGGATCAGTTTTGAAAGTGAAAGGAGATGTTTCTTAAGGAAGCGACTAGGTGCTGCACAATGAAGGAGTGAAAGCTGAAAGGGGGTTTGGATTTGGCATGGAGCTTAATAAGATAATTAGGAGTGTGCAGATTAATGGCTCCTAAAATAACATTCAAAATAATGTTTTTTCTAACTAAAGGATCTTGAAACATGAAAACAGGTTTATCAATATTAATTAAGCCTTTGAAAGTTGGCTTTCCACTAACACAATGGAGGAACAAGAGGTATTCTGTAATAATTAGTGAACAATAACCAATAAAGTCAATAAAACATTTTATTCAGATGTTATGTATATATAAGATCTATGCAATATTTCATAATTCTTTGCCAAGTAACCAAGAAGAAGACAAAATAAAGCAGCTGTATAGCACTTCTCTTTGTTTATTTTGTGAGTTTCTGATATCATGAAGTATGAATTCAAAACATAACAATTTCCTAAAGTTTATTTCTCATGGATGTTATTACCACACCAATCCTACTGTGAACACTATAACCTTAATACACACTGCATAGTCCAAAGCATTTTTCCTTTTCAGATTTTTCCCGACATATTTAGAAACATTTTTTAATAAAAATTTAAAGTAGAATATATCATCTACTCCTTTCCCACTGAACCAGGAAAAGCTGAATTTTGTCAAAAAATGTGAACTTGCTTAACAATTACCTTCTACAAATAGACAAAATAATTAGAATGTAATGTGTTCACCTGCCGAACCAAAGCAGCTCTGAACTTGAAACAAGTTTGCACAGACTTTCCCCACCGAAGCAGTGAAGGGCAGCTTCCAACACTTTGCAACTGCTCTGGGGCAAATTCTCTTTCCATGTAATTTTAGAAGTAGAATTATTAAGGAACAAACTATTTAGCACTTAGCAACTGAGAATACCTTCTTAAATCCCCATTTCTCTCCTACTGCAAATCATATAAGTAACTTCCCTTAAACTCATTTTATTTAACATGATTTGGGTATGTTTTTCTCAAACAAGATTTCTTTTCAGAACTTAGAGAAGTTTCTTCTTTTGCATTTCAAATGTTGAGTCACAGAAAAGACTTTCACTTTTTTACTACTTAATTCTAAGCCCCTTTCTCTGCGAAAAGTAAAACTGGACACATAAATCACAGATAACACACTACTGTCTTTCTAAAACTTCTCTGCACAAGAGCACACACGTATTTCTAGAGGTTTTCTATTTTTCAGTTTAGTGTTATGCTAACGATTAGAGTAAGAAAGCAAAAGGAAAAAGGGTAAAGTGGGTGATGAGTTAGTGAGAGGAAAGTGCGAGACTCTGTTTTATGTAAGAGAAAGAGTAAAGGAAACAACAAAACTTATACCTGATACGAAAGTGCAGGTTCATCAAGTGCAATGCACTGCGTTTAGGCCACAGTTTTTGAAATAGTAATCATAATAGTAGAATAATAAAATAAAAATAAAAATAAAAACAAAAACCAAAGAAGGCTCTATTGGTTGTGTTGCCTTCAAAGCAGCTTTACAGAGCCCGGTGTCTGAGAAGTTAGTCAAGCCAAAGTTTGCTGGCTTTGGTTTGGTTTGCGTTTTTGTTTGTTTTTTGGTTTGTTTGTTTTCAAGCAGGCTCATCTCATCACTATCATCATTTTTTTCTGCGCTCTTGCAAGTACTGAGAAGCTCTGTTTTTTTGTGTTGTTTTCTTTTTATTTGCTGTTTCTTCAGGGCTCCTGCTATTTCTCAGCAAAGGAGGTCGAGAGGGCTTGTCGTCATTCTCTTCCTTCTCCGTATTCCAGGCACAAAGCATTGCGTAGAAGCTGTACCAATCCTTGCTATCAACTGGCAGCAGAATGGTAGAAGGTGGGAGAGACCCGGAATCCTTCCAGGCTAGGCTGACTTGAGAAATGAGGACTGCACACGTTTGCCTCCCGAACCGAAGGGGTGAAAGGCTGGGTGCCAGTTTGCTACTCGGCTGAAATGATCTCATGCTCACTGCTCTGTCGTCCTGTTCGACCAGTTCAAATGCCTGTTCGTTATAAACCAAATACATACATAAATAAATAACCCAGCTACTTGGATTCTTCTGTAACCAAAAAGGCTATTAACATAATTTTTTTTAAAAAAAAAATCAGCAGTCAGAAAAGGAGGGGGAAAAGCACATACAATTTAAAGATTCACTTGCTATGCCTCAATATTCTGTTATTATTTTCCTTTTTTCTCTCTCTTTCGAGATAAGCAGCAGAATTTATCAGGCGTGAAAGGGACAGCCTCCTGGTGGCCTGCCAAAAACCCAGAATAAAGGCGAAGTTGTGCTTCAAAGCTCAGTTGCTTGCTGAGTCTGGCTAAAGTCAAGTATTAAGATCCACCATTTTCTGATCCTTGCTAGAAAAGAAGAAAAAAGTCAGGCCCGCTGCTGCTTCCAAGTCTCCGTTGGCACCATCACAAAATCTCAGTCGTCAGGTCACATGATTCTCTGCCAAATGTAGAATGAGTGCATTCCCATCAACCATTCTGCTGATACTGCGAAGGCAGCTATTGTCTCGTTTAGACCCAAAGTTCAGCCCACTCTTCATTGAATTAGCTGAAAAACGCATCACCTTTGGGGGCTGGGAGTCATGGAAACGTCTACCTGGCAAGCTGCCCACTTTTTCTGCCCATCAACCAGAGATGGGATTGTGCTGCCTAACGCAGTGATGACTTGGAATGTGAAGAGTCGCCCAAAGTGAATCTGATTCTTTGCAACGCCTGCTTCATTTGCACAGAAAACTCTGCCTTGTACTTAGGGGAGGAGAGAGAGAGAAAGAAAAAAAAAATCTTTCCTACCAAAAGTAGCAAATAAAGGTCTGAGCATGCCTACTTTGCAACTTTATTTCTCAACACACCCAAACGGTTCTCAAATGAGAAAACTGAATGCCCTGCGAGTTTTCTTCATTAAAGGCATTTCTAATGCTTTCTTTGCCGTGAATACAAGCTCAGGACATTTGTTTTCTCCCACTTCAAGAATTCAAAACAAAACAAAAGCTCGGAGTTTTCTTTCTTTTTTTTTCCAATATTTTTATTGCTTTCTGATTTTTATCTAACACCAACTTTGTACTACATGGCCACTAGCAGCAGAGAGGCATTATTGCTGCCATCTCCAGCAAAGTGGTCCCCTGAGAGGCTGAGTTGTCTCTTCCAGCAGGCAAAAGCCTGCAATTGGGTCTTGTGATAATCCCCACCACCACCTAGCCCAGCTGCTGTGCATGTTTGCTGAGAGTGAGACATGTGAGCAGTGCTCCTTCTGGGCTCTCACTGGCTACGCTTTGCCTGTGTGGCATGAAAGATGCCTTTGAAAGATGCAGGGAGTGTATCAACAGCTCTCAGGCAATAAAACGAACTGCTTCCCCCTCCCTGGTGAGTTTCCATTCTCGCATGCAATGAGAGTTCCCATGGACAAACATTTCCATATTTTCTAACAAAAGTGGACTGAATTCAACCTCTATTTCCTTAAGCAGGATCTAAAGCCAAATAAGAAAGCAAGCATTACTAGTATTTGAGCCAAAAGCTATAGGGTACAATTTCAAAGTTCTATATTTTCATACTCCATTGAAAATTTTATAGTGATTATATCTAAAGTAAATTATGTTTATAAGAAGTCTAAAATTAAGTTCAGTACCTAATACGAAAAATAGATCTGTATCCATCTCCAGGAACACACACATAATAAATAATATTTGACAATTCAAACCATGTCTTGCCTAAACCTTATTTGTGAAAGTCAGAAAATGAGAAAACCTCCTACCAAAGTTTTCAAAGGATATTATCACACATTATTTTACTCATGAGGTCTGAGTAGGGCTGAGTCTCACATGCACATATGGGAAACGTCATGGAATCCTGCCTGTCTGTAATTGAAAACTGCACTCAGTTCTACACAGTAGAACATGACCGTACACGTGTGCTGAGTTTTGCAATTCTTTCCCCTAACTAAAATTTTCTGGGCATAATTTTGCCAGAATCCTAACCATACACCTAAACATTGTTGAGGGGAGAATTGTGTATGGCAAATCTATAGCCTCTGTGTTGTAAGGCTACACAAAGTAGGCAATAGACATAATAATTGAAATTTTAAGTTCCTAGTGACTGTTCAGGTTTGCAGCAATTAAGCACTAATGTTTGGTAAGTCTTGCAATAGACTCAGGGGATTAACAATAAGCCAAATGGATAAGACTCCCATGGGGTGTCGTTCAGTAACTACTTTGAAACAGAGTGAAGCTAGTATCCAAAAGAAATTTATTATAGAGAGACTCTTCATGAAACAAGCAGGAAGAAATTGAAGAATGGAAGTAAAATGCATATTAAATAAATAAATTACAGTTGGAAATGTTTCACTCTGCAGTTTTCCCTTTCAGTAAAAAAAATAGTAATTAGTTTCTAAAACTTTTTGTGTTTAACTTGCATAAAGAAACTAAAGGAGAAGTTGTCCTTCTTCCAATTCAAAAGAAGGGAAGGAAGGAAAGAAGGAAGGAAAGGAGAGAGAGGGAAATTCACGTTAAGGAACATGAGACTGTGACAGTTGACGAGATAGCAACAGACTGTGATAGAAGAGATCCCAGGAAAGCTGGAGACTCAGGATGTAAGAACAAGCATACTGGTGAGTTCCTTCACTTTTGCTTTTGCTGGGTCTCCTTAGTCATGTGATCAGGAAAATAGTGTACCCACAAGGACAATAATTGTTAGGATGTTGCCATTTACTATAGTCAAACACCACATAAG